TTTTCTTTCTTTCCATCCATCTCCCCATCCCTCCTTCCATCCACCGTCCATCCATCATGTCTTTCTTTCTTTCTTTCTTTCCTTTCTCTTTTCCTTTTTCTTTTTTCTTTCTCATCCTTCCTTCCTGCCTTCATTTTTTCTTTTTCTTTCTTTCTTCTTTCTCATCCTTCCTTGTTTTTCTTTCTTTCCATCCATCTCTCCATCCCTCCTTCCATCCACCGTCCATCCATCATGTCTTTCTTTCTTTCTTTCTTTCTTTCCTTTCTCTTTTCCTTTTTCTTTTTTCTTTCTCATCCTTCCTTGTTTTTCTTTCTTTCCATCCATCTCTCCATCCCTCCTTCCATCCACCGTCCATCCATCATGTCTTTCTTTCTTTCTTTCTTTCTTTCCTTTCTCTTTTCCTTTTTCTTTTTTCTTTCTCATCCTTCCTTCCTGCCTTCATTTTTTCTTTTTCTTTCTCTTCTCTATCCATCTCCCCATCACTTTTAAAATTATCATTTGCATCCCACTTTTCTTCTGCTGGTGTGTGTCTTTCACAAAGAGTTAATCGGATTTGAATTGGAAAGCCTGCGAGGTTGTCTCTTCTAGGTGTGGAAATAGCGTTCTGTGTGAGCCAGAAGCTTGCTCGGTTGGGTCTCACGGACCTTGAGGCAGCCTTGGGATGGTTGCTCTTCTCTGCTCCGACAGCATTCCTCATCAGAGCCCCTCATTTTGACCCCCCGTCAGTGACAGCAATTTCCATTAGCAAGAGGTGTCTGCTCTCTTCTCCATTGTGGCGTTGTGCACACCCATAAATTCTGCCCTTTTTCACTTCTTGTCACACGCACCGTTCATGCACAACAATTTCTCTCCCATCCACGGGCCGCTCAAATCGATTTGGGGGTCTCGGGATAGGCCGCCATTGTGGGGTGGGGGGAAGAGAGAGCCAGTTCTAGTTGTCCCACACAGGATGAGTTTGGTCCAATCGTCCCTTCTTGGCCCAGCCTACCTCGCAGAGTTGTCGTTCGTAGGGGAAATTTGCGGGATGGGTTTTTTTTTCCCATCGCTTTCTAAAGACGAGGCCAATTTTCCTCGGGAAGCTGGGGAGATGCAGGCGAGGGGTGTGGAAATTGAAAATAAACACGCAAAACTCACAAGAAGACAACATTGTACTGCTCCCAACACACACACACAGCTGGCTCAGCCTCTTTTATTATATAAATATAATCAAATCAAATCAATTTTACACTCCAATCCCTCTCTTGTGCTCTTCAAGCCTCCCATTTTTTTTTCCTTCCTTCCTTCCTTCCTTCCTTCCTTCCTTCCTTCCTTCCTTCCTTTTTTTTCTTTCTCTTTCTCTTCTCTATCCATCTCTCCATCACTTTTAAAATCATCGTAATAAGAAAGATTATGAACTGTGCCGAAACGGACAAACTAACTAAAGAAATCCAGGGAAANATCTGGAAGCTTCTAAGGTTGAGAAAACCTGGGGGATTCTGGGAGTTGAAGTCCACCCATCTGGAGGCTTCTAAGGTTGAGAAAACCTGGGGGTTTCTGGGAGTTGAAGTCCGCCTACCTGAAAGCAGCTCGCTTGCCCTCCCCTTACCTGGATCAGCTCCTCCAGGTCTTCTACTGCCACGCACTCGTGCGCCTTCAGGAAGTGCTCCAGGTAGGCCTGGATCTTCACCTGTTGGACCGCTTCGTGAGGCTGCTCCAGCAGCCGGAAGACGACAGCGCCCATCCCCAGGTAAAGCAAGACGATGGAGACCAGGGCCAAAACCGTCGTCCGGCGCATCACTGTACCGGCTTCTACAGGCGGCTGGCTCAAGATGGGAGTCCTTGGAGAGGTAGCAGACTATGGGCAGAGAGCCATGGAGGCCAACGGCTGGCGGATAACTCACTGGCAGAGGATGGGCAAAGAAGGTAAGCAGGACGGGCAACACCCTCAAAAGGCTGGTTTGCCGAAAAAAGCTAAGCCACCGGTCTCCGAAAATGGACAAATCTGGTCTTTGGTGCTGCACGGAGCTTCCTTGTTCAAGAGCAATCTACCTTTAAAATGCAAAGATGCCAGAATGCGGATTTGGGTTACTCTCTTTTTTGGGGGAGTTTTTTCCTCTCTCTCTCTCTTGGAAGTGTGAGCGGTTTGCTAACGGAGACAGCATTTATCCATCCATCCATCCATCCGAATAGAATTGGAAGGGACCTTAGAGGTCTTCTAGTCCAACCCCCTAGATCCATGCGAATCTAGGTGAGAAAATGGGCGTTGGAGACAAGGGGGGGGGTTCCTTTCTCTTGGGAGCCTGAAAAAATATTCCTTCCCAGCCTGTGCGCCCCAAACTCTTTCTATCAAACTATCCCCACCCCACCCCTCACATACTAAATAGTCCTCAACTTATAACCAGAATTTCGGCCCAGAATTGCTAAGCAAGGCGACTCTAAAGTGAGTTTTCCCCAATTTGACAAATTTTGCCGCAGCCGTTAAGCGAACCACCGCCATTGTTAAGCGAATCAGATAGTCATTAAGTGAATCCATTCCTCCCCCCCCCTTTGAGTTTCCTTGTCAAAAGGCGATTTAATGAGCCCGGCACGGAAATAAATATGAATCGTGTGCCAAGTAATTCCGATCACGTAAGTCAACTTTTCCCGGGGCTGTTCTAACTTATCTTAATGAACTAAATGAATTTTAAGTCAAAGACTTATCTGTTTATCAACCCCCCCCCCCAAAAAAAAAGTTTCCTTACCTCTAAATCTGTGCCGGTCCAGAGTTCGAGAATAAAGCAAAGAGTTATTTTTCTGGCAAAGGTAGTTTTGCGGTTCGGTGGACGTTCACCGCTGTTGCCAGAAGCCAGGAGAATTTTGCGGCAAGGTGGGAGCCATGCCAAACCTCAAACCCCCCCCCCAAAAAACCGATCAACCGAAGAGGATGCAATTAAATTCTACCACGTCTTTCTCTCTGGCTCCCGATGAGTGAATTAAAAGTATTTCTGATTCTCCCTTTGGGGAGAAGGAGGTCTTCAGTGGCCAGTGCCTGGACGGAGCAGGCAGCAGTTCAACAGGGAGGGAGGGCTTCTCTCTCTAGAGCTGGCAGCCTGGCACAATACCCAACCTCCCTCCCCAAAAAGCTGGCTCCGTTTGCCTCAAAATGGGCTTCAGTGCAGGCAGCTTCTGGATCAGACAGAACGCTTCGGCCAGAGGGAAAATGCTGGGTGAAAGGAGGGTGTTGAATTGTCAATCAAATCAAAGCTTTTGAAACCAGCCTAAGAAAGGTAAAATGCAAAGTGAATAATTTTGAGAGGCAAATATCTTAAATATATCATGACAATATCTCTCTTTCTCTCATCTCCCTCCATCCCTCCCTTCGTTCACCGTCCATCGTCATGTGTCTCTGTGTCTTTCTTTTCTTTCCTTTCTCTTTTCCTTTCTTTCTTTTTCTTTTCTTTCTCATCCTTCCTTCCTTTTTATTTTTCTTTCTCTTTCTTTTTCTTCTTTCTCTTCCTTTTTTTCTTTCTCTTTCCATCCATCTCTCCATCCATCTATCTCTCCATCCCTCCTTCCATCCACTGTCCATCCCTCATGTCTGTCTGTTTTTCTCTTTCTTTCTTTCCTCTCTTTTCCTTTCTTTTTTCTTTCCCTTCCTTCCTTCAGTTTCTTTTTCTTTCTCTTCTCTATCAATCTCTCCATCCGTCTATCTCTCCATCCCTCCTTCCATTCACCATCCATCCACTGTCTTTTTCTTTCTTTCTTTCTTTCTTTCTTTTTTCCTTTCCTTTCTTTCTTTTTTCTTTCTCATCCTTCCTCCCTTCCTTGTTTTTCTTTCTCTTTCCATCCATCTATCTCTCCATCCCTCCTTCCATTCACCATCCATCCACTGTCTTTCTTTCTCTCTTTCCTTTCTTTTCCTTTCTCTTTTTTCTTTCTCATCCTTCCTCCCTTCCTTGTTTTTCTCTCTTTCCATCCATCTATCTCTCCATCCCTCCTTCCATTCACCATCCATCCACTGTCTTTCTTTCTCTCTTTCCTTTCTTTTCCTTTCTCTTTTTTCTTTCTCATCCTTCCTCCCTTCCTTGTTTTTCTCTCTTTCCATCCATCTATCTCTCCATCCCTCCTTCCATTCACCATCCATCCACTGTCTTTCTTTCTCTCTTTCCTTTCTTTTCCTTTCTCTTTTTTCTTTCTCATCCTTCCTCCCTTCCTTGTTTTTCTCTCTTTCCATCCATCTATCTCTCCATCCCTCCTTCCATTCACCATCCATCCACTGTCTTTCTTTCTCTCTTTCCTTTCTTTTCCTTTCTCTTTTTTCTTTCTCATCCTTCCTCCCTTCCTTGTTTTTCTCTCTTTCCATCCATCTATCTCTCCATCCCTCCTTC